GTGTTCCCTTTAGCAATGAAGTGCTAAAGACCTCTGCTCCACATGTCCCGGGGGCCTTCCGACTATGGCTGCCCAGTTAACGATGATGCAATAACTAGAAGCACTTTTGCACAGACGTGTTGGGTGGTGAGAGGAAACTCTGCCGCGGTGGCGCAATACTGTTAATCACCCCAGGTTCCCTGAGCCCCGCTCTCTATTGACTCCCATACATGACCCTGTACTTTTCCCCAAGCGGCAGATGTCTTGATGTTAATCAAATGAGTAGAAGCTCGAGAGAGTCATGTGTCTGCCATGCGCCCCGTCACTCGCCGGCTCCTTGGTTCAACGTTCATTCCTGAGCGACTCACTTATGTCTTAAAAACAGCTTGAAAGTTTTAGACGGATGGGTTGTTTTTTGCAGGTCTAAGCAGTTCTAATTTTGTGTGTGTGTGTGTGTGTGTGTGTGTGTGTGTGTGTGTGTGTGTGTGTGTGTGTGTGTGTGTGTGTGTGTGTGTGTGTGTGTGTGTGTGTGTGTGTGTGTGTGTGTGTCATTGAGTTCAGTGCACCCCCACCCCTTCAAATGTGTACAGGGTTTGAGTTCTATGTAAGTGTGTGTGAGTGCCCAGTTTTGTGTTTTTTTTGTACCTCAGAACACTGTAATCATTGTAAACAATCTTTTTTTATGTCATTGAATTTGTTTTGGGAGCAGACTGAGTGGAGTGACTTCTGAATAAATTAAATTAAAATGACTGTCCTCCATTCTTTCTGGTGTGCTTAACTTAAAAAAGAGAAACAAGTTGTAAATACTGTTTTTATAATGACTCAATGAGTTTTGAAAATGAAGAACATTATCAATAAACCCGAGCTATATTTCTCTATGGAACTTGTGTTCTGATATCTTGCTTTTTAACTACTCTTTTTATTCACTACTTGGTTCACCACGGTTGATAGGCGGACTAACCCACCAGTGTCCTCCTTTTTCACCAACATGATCCAGATAATTTACATGTATGACTAATTACAGTTTTTCTCAATCGCTTAGATTAAGAAAAAAAAGATTTTAAAAAAGTGTTTCGCCTGAAGCTCTAACCTCATTCTCAAAACAGTAAAACAATTTGTTATAACACTAAACCACCTGCATGAACCCATTGAGTAAACCCAAAACAAAATTCTAAGTATTGCATCAAAACTGGACAGGCTGTGTACATGTAACGTACATGTGTCAATGTAAAAGATTTCCTGGACGCACAAATATGCGCAAAAACATGTCTTATGTATTCATCACATTAGATATTACGGTCTCATTGGGCATTCAGTCTCTGCTCCCTGTTAGGCCGGAGAACTTCATCAACAGCACACCTGATGTCTTACCTTTCAAGGCACAGAGGAAAACCCTCTCCAGTCCTTAACTGTAATGTCCTCATAACCAGTGTTCATTGCATCTAGTAAAGCTAGTAAAAAAATCAGTAAAACTGGTCATGGGGCTGGTGATCATACACCTTCCACTGCCATGCTGAAATATTTTTTTTACAGTAAATTGGCTTGAGGGCCCCAGCAAAAGCCACTAAGATGGTGTGTGGCAGGGAGGATCTGCAACACTGGCACCCCAGATGGGACTTCTCCGACACAGGACACAGGTAGATCTTGGTTGGGATATGCGTTTATTGGAGATGGTATTCGCCGAGCACAGATGTAACGTGCTGCCATGACAGTGTCTCTGTCCTCAGTGTGTGTGGTGATAGCTGGTTTATCCTGGGTGCCATGATTGTTCTGCACCATAGGTTTACAGCCCCACCCAGCCCAGAGTCTAATCAGTCTGACTCAGGCCAGGTGAGGCTGTAAACCAGCTATCAGTCACACACACACACACACACACACACACACACACTCCACAGTTAGATTAGAGGTTTCCTCCATGTTCACCCTGCCCCATCTAACCACAGTGCTGGCCTGTGAAGCCCTTTGAGACTGTGATTAAGGACTGAACAAATAAAATTGACTTGACTTTGAAACAGAAGGGCCATAATCCAGCAATGACACTCTATTGTCTCTCTGAAATAGCGATGGATTAAAAATAATTAAAATAATAATAAAATAATCAAAAAATCAAAAAACACATTTAGCAAAGGCATCTCTTTGAGAGTTGTGATTTTAAATGGGCATGACCATAGAAACCTGGCCAGGCCTCAAGAGGTTTGAGGACAGGAGCAGGAGTGTGTGAGCACGTAAGCACAGTGGATGTTTGATTGCATTATGGCCATGCCATGACACCAGTCTTGGTAATAGGTTATTAAAAATGATGATCCCATAAGCCTAAATCTTTTCACATTTTTTTTATGAGAGCTCTGCCTTCACTTTTCCACGAAGCATTTAAGCAGGAAGTGATGAAACCAAAGACTTAGCCGCTGTTACTCAACTGTATACAACAAGCAGATCTGCTTTGGTTGTTGGAATTTCTTTTGCCCAATTTAAAAAAAAACACTAGTAAGTCTTTACATCACAAATATGTAGGGATTAAGTAATGGTAGAATTTAGCTATCTTGTAGATGATGACATATATTGTTGTAACGAATAGAAAATATGGCATATTGCATTTTTTTTTAAAATATTTATATTAAAACCGGACATTTCAAATAACCCAATATTGATATAACACTATATTGATCATAAATACATTTCATTTATTCATTTTCCCACATTGTTTTGCCACACAGCTTCCAGTGCAGGTGGTTTATAAGAATAGGATTTGCTGTACATGTCTGTACATGCGTACAGTCCTGATAAAGGTGATATGAAGGTGATATGAAGGTGTGAAGCACCTGGACATTCTGTTGTGCAGCGGTTTGACTACATTATTTCAACATCACAGACATCATAATGACCAGAAACATAAACCACCCACTTCCTGTGTCTCTGGGGAAATTCCCTTGTCTGGCGTATTTAAGCCTTACAGTTTGTAGCACTCACTCACACTTCCACTATTTCCACTACTCCACTACTAAGAGTAACAATCAGCAATCAGCAATCTATCACAGGTAAATGAGATTTCTTTTTGACACTGGTTTTTATTGTGGTCTACTTTATTTTCCATTATTCTATTATCATGGTCTATTATCTATTACCTATGATCTATTATTATTATTATTATTGTTATTGTTATTATTATTATTATTATTATTATTTGTCATTGTAATATTATTATTAGTATTTATTTATTTATTCTTCGATCCCAATTGATATTTTGTCAAATGTTATCATCTTATTCTTACGTCCTTTATCAATGGCCTCTATAGTATGTCATGTTTTTAATACTGCATTTCCTGGTGTATCTCTGTGAATGTGATTATTAAAAGCGTCTGTGTTCTCTTGGCCAGCTATCCAACTACAGCGAAGACATGGAGATTGAATGCAGCAGCATGAAGGTGAGTTTCCTCTCAGCACAGCATCACCTGTTGTCGCCCATCTCCAATCTGCCCGCGGCCACCAAACATAACCACCTGCAGACACGGACAATACATTACAACTTTATTGTCCACACAAGGTGGAAATTTGCCTTTTGCTTCGCTTGGCATATACATACACGAAGACACCAAGAGACATTGAAAATATTCCAAAACCTTAAAAAGCAGAAATATGGGGAAGTTGACCCGAGTTATACAAAACATGCACATATCTGAGGGGATTTCTACCTTGAGTTGAAGAGGCTAATATCACTTAGGATGAAGGACTTCTTCTCCTTGGTGCTTTTAGTTGGCACCATGGATGCTGTTCTTGTCTTATTGCTATAGACACTGATTTTAAACTGTAACATGTAACTTCAATGATTGCTTGAACTATCAATGCCCATCAAGGTGACTGGTGTTGGAGATGAGTTAGGGCTATATACACGTGTAGTACCATACACCGGACGCTACTGCAACTGCAACTGTCCATGTTCTCTCTGTATTTGTCCCTTACAAATAAACACATTAAATAAAATGACTAACCCTTACCGTTGTGTCCTCTCCACCGATAGAAAACCTCATCAAGCGAGCTTCGGAATCACATGATGCCACAGGGCATGGCTCTGGAGATTGTCCATCACCCGCTGACCATGAGACAAGTGGTCAACCTGGTCATCGCCATGGACCGGTTGAAGACCTGCCAATCAGAGATGGTCATGAGCTCTGAGTTCAGAGACGAGGACCTGCTCAACATCTTGTTAGAGAGCGCAGTGGATGGTAAGCTTGCGCGCGCACACACACACACACACACACACACACACACACACACACACACAATATTAAATCAGCATTTCCCAAGATGTCCATTCTTTTGGAATATTGTCGTTTTATTTGTTTCTATCACACGGACAAAACGTCCTATGTTACACATCAGTCACGATTCGATAGTGGACACGCCGAGTACATTTAGTCTCACATCATGCATGACAAGTAACTAAAAATCCAATCAAAATTACCACTAATTAGAATAACACAGAGAGAGAGAGAGAGAGGTCGTTCGCTTCCTGAGCTCGCTTCATTCTGCTCCAAATCAGAACAACTGGTGCTGGAGATCACAGAAGCGGCGCCACCCGAGCCAACCTACAGCCAGGAGGCGGAGTCGCCGCAGCAGTGCACCCTGACGGACACCGTGAAGCGCAGCCTGGTGCTGATGCGAGACACCCTGGAGCTGCACGCCGTCCGGCTGCAAGGCGGCAGCAAAAACCTCCAAGGTACGCCGCTCGGCCTCATGCATCCCATCTGCGTCTGAGCCACTCTGTAGTGGTGGGACGCCGACGTATATTTGATGTGCATTTGTGTGTGTATATTTTATGGCCTGCACACTGTATTTTGTGTGTTTATTTTTGGTTGTACTTCATTATTTTACTTCTATCCTCTATTTTTTTAAAATTATTATTATTATTCTGTCTTGAGCAGAACAATTGTGACAGTCCTCTCAGGATTAATAAAGTACTGAAGGTATATATTATACAATGTATGTTATACAACATACATATATTATACAAGGGGCAGGATAGGGGCAGGATACTCTAATCGTGGTGAGGGGTGTTTGACTCCCAGGTTCTGGGTTCAATCCCCATTTCTGCCTGTCCTTGAGCAAGATGCCCTACCTGCTCCTTAATGACATGTATCTCAAAATAAATACACTGTAAGTTGCTTCGAATAAAAACATTCTATATAACTACATAGTAGTAATAGTAAATGCAATATTTACTTAGATAGCTAAGATAGCTCTGACCATACCAGCCAACTAGTCTAGCCTGGGTATTCCTTCTTCAAATGATTGGCTCGAGGAGGAGTAGTGATGATGATTGAAGACATGAAGTGTTGAATCACAACACAATTATCAAAGGAGAGATAGCTGAACTTTTCTTCTTCTTCTTCTTCTTCTTCTTCTTCTTCTTTCCCTCCAATTCATTAGTGAGTTTGAACATGTCGACCTACTTGGACCCCATGCCCAGCACTGAGGCCCAGCCAGTCGCTCTGGGTATCAGAGACACAAAGTATTACCTATCGTGTTCACAGGGAGTAGACCGACCCACCCTGAACCTAGAGGTAAGACCACCTACCTGCCTGCATAGACCACACACACATGGCTTCTGTCAAGTCAGGTCCATTTTATTTGTATAGCCCTTAATATATCTATAGCCCTGTAGAGTGTGTGTTGTTGATGGTTCATACTGTATAAGTCTAAAAAGAGAGTAACGCTACATTTAGAGTTTAGATTTCCAGCCGTATCCACAATCACAGTATAGTGTCAGTTTGAAAGAGTGAACACTTCAGAATTATTGTATTTGTGGGATTGATGGTTGGCTCAGTAAGGCTGTAGACACAGTGAGTAGGCCACTACTACTACCTGTAGAAGAGCCTGGAGGCCTAATGCGTTTAAGACTTATTAGGCCTACAGGTACGCCTACTGACTTTGGTACTCACTAAGGATATTCAATCAAATATGAATTTGATTTGCCAAATAACTTAAATGTCATGTTATTTGTCAAATCAAATGAATACTTGATTGAATGTTCTGTAATTATTGCTTCTGCCTGGCAAGTAGATTTTTTAGCTATGACTTTATATGTTTCACAATAAAAACAAAAAATCTCATGACGCCATTCATTTTTTCATTCTTGCTCTTATAGGAAGTGCACAACAAGGACGATCTGAAGTACATCAGCAAGAACAGTGACATGGCACGCTTCCTGTTCTACAAGAGGGACTCAGGGCTCAGCGTCAGCTCCCTAATGTCTGCCCGTTATGCCGGTTGGTACATCAGTACTGCCCCGGAAGACAACTTACCCGTAGACATGTGTAAGCAGTCTGCCAGCCGCTACCAGAGTTTCACAGTCCGCTAGATTTGCCTACGTTTGTATTACAAATGTAATTGCAATGCAATTTTTATATAGGCATATATATATATATATATGCCTATATAAAATATCACATAATATGTATACTCTTTGCTCAAATCATATTTATACTCTTTGCTCAAATCATATTTACATTATTTTTAGATTTTCAAGGAATCAATGGATTGGATGGAATGTATTTATTGGCCATAAATGTGCTTTTGATGTAGTGGAATAGTGGTAAAAAAAAAAAAAAACTGTAACACATAGGCCTATAAGCAGTCCTGATTTGGTGTGTTTCCAAAAACAGGAAACATATTTTGATTTTTTAAGCGCGTATGTACTGAGTACAGTAAAGTACAGTCTGCCAGCCACTAACAGACTTATCAAAAATTCAAGGCTATATATATATATATATATATATATATATATATATATATATATATATATATATATATATATATATATATATATAAATCATATTTAGACACTTTTTTCAAGTAATCAATGGCCATTAAGTATTTGGTGGCCATGTATGTGTACTTTTGGTTTACTGGAATTTTTGTTCATTTTCATTTCATTGAGTTCATTTTTGAACAAAAAAAAAAATCGTAATTCAGTCCTGGTAATGGTCAACTGGATGCACAGATGTATGGAAACATTTTTTGAGTTTTCAGTTTTTGAGTGTGTATGTACCGAGTACAGTAACCTCAACGTCAAAGTAATGGCTGTATCGTCAACATCCACCACTAGATGGGGTAGATGCACTTGTGATCTCGCTTGAAGGCATAAAACGAACAAGAGCAGAGAATTAATTAATTGAATTTATTTAATATTTATGCACATGTACTTTTCTGTAATATTTATTACATGCTTACTAACACAAATAAAATGATAATACATCAGTACGAGTGGTATGCTTTTCCTTTGGATGGTTTTGGTACCAGCAACACTATTTACATTTAAAAAAATAAAATATTATTTATGTATTTATATTATATTATATTAAGAGTCTTCTGCAAAAATTCAAAAGGACCCTAATGAATTGGCAACAAAGGCACTGTGGTACCTCGCCCGGAATGGGGAAACCGGGGCCCTCCTGGAGGGGTCCTCCTGGAGCCAGACCTGGGTGGCCGGGCCTCGATCCACGGGGCTCGGCCCGAAGAAACAGCGTGGAGCCCTGTGGGGCTGGTGCTGGAGGTGGAGCGGTACCGACTGGATATAGTTGGGCTCACCTCTTATGCACGTACTGGCTCTGTAACCAACTCCCGGAGAGGGGCTGGACTCTCTCCTTCTCCGGAGTGGCCCAGGGTGATGAGGACTATGGTAACTGGTATATCTCAGTGCAAAACGTATGAAGGTACTGGCAGTTGTGACTGCAACATATTACATTTACAAGCAGTTGAAACATAAGTATTTGAGTGTAATGTAACTCATATATACAGTATATATATATATATACAGTATATATATATATATACATATATATATATATACAGTATATATATATATATACATATATATATATATATATATATATATATATATATATATATATATATATATATATATATATATATATAGCGATTGTTGACGGGGGGGCAGTAATGACACCGCGAATACAGACGTTTATCATCTTTTTTTTAAATAGGGCTGAAGCCCAGATAAGCCCGTGCATTAAGGCGCCACTGCCCAGACCTACGACCGACGGGGGGGGGGGACGCAGGGCTCGAGGGCGCTTACCTTCCTTGGTGGAAATCCGGTATAGACCCAGCTCCCAACCCAACTTTGACAATAGATTAACGGCGATAATTTTTCTATCGCGCGATAAGAGTCTCGCGTTATCGCAGCGCGGTAACACCGATAACGGCCCAACACTAATATACAGTATATATATATATATATATATATATATATATATATGGGCGATTTCACAAGCAAGGATTAGATACTATGAAGGACCCATGTGTATTTGTGAAGTATGATTGATTAATTACTTTTAAGAATAAATACTAAATAAAGAATACGCTTTGTTTCTATTTTGTGGGCTAGCTGAAAATTAGCACATTTATGTTATTCCCACTATTTTTCTACACTCCATCACACACACACACATATATATATATATATATATATATATATATATATATATATATATATATATATATATATATATGTGATTGAGTGTAGATTAAAAGTAATTAATCAATCATACTTCACAAATACACATGGATCCTTCATAGTATCTAATCCTTGCTTGTGAAATCGCCCATATATATATAGTGTTGGGCCGTTATCGGCGTTACCGCGCTGCGATAACGCGAGACTCTTATTGCGCGATAGAAAAATGCTAATTTTCAGCTAGCCCACAAAATAGAAACATAAAGCGTATTCTTTATTTAGTATTTATTCTTAAAAGTAATTAATCAATCATACTTCACAAATACACATGGATCCTTCATAGTATCTAATCCTTGCCTGTGAAATCGCCCATCCATAGCTCATGCAACAGGATTTCTATTGGTTTTTCTTCAGAGGAATATGAGAAACCGTTCATCAGAGATGACCCCTACACAGATGGGCGGCTGCATATATGAAAAAAAAAACACCTACCCCTAAAAAAATTCTAACAAAAGGTTTCTCAGCTGTTTTTTGTAGTATTAGGTGTCCTTAATAACATACTAAAAGTTTACCAAAGTTTGACCACTAGAAAGGTGTAATTTTCAAGATGGCGTCCAAGATGGGCAGGAAGCCCTTAAAATATCCTAACTCCTTCATTATTTGACCTAGCCAAGTAATCTTGGTGTCTAACCCCATGTTTTCTGGGTCTATGAATCCATTGGACTTGTCTAAATTGCACTGACATGTTTATACTTATGGAATACATGATTTTGTGAGATTACTGTAAGGTTTTATCTTTGTTTGGGGTGAACCAGAGATGTAAACGATTTAGCCTATGTCATGTAACAGTACTCAGTACGTGTTAACTCGCCGCAGCAACCAGTACTGGGCAGGCCTTAGCTCTGACCTCGTCATCGAGCAGACATTGATGCGATCCTTGAAAAGCAGTGGAGGCTTGACCCACGGAAGTGGAATGACTGAAGACATGCAAGCATTGTGGACCATGTCTACACCCATCACATCTGAATACAACAACGCCATGCAGGAATTCAATGACCTCACCTACACGACCAGCGAGCAGCACTGAGAATCCTCAGAAGCAAGGATGAAAAGAGATCACTCTGATCTAGAAAAGATCAAGGAACAGCTTAGCAATTGCACACCATTCTCTCCAGACCCATCTCTGAGAAACATTGTAACTGGTGTTGTTGCCAAAGAGGAGGTGAATGTGCATGAGTTTGAGACTGTTGGCAATGAGATAATTGAACAGATGATTAGAAAACCTGTTTTTGGAATATCCGTCAAACGGAAAGACCGGGCAAAAAAACCCTGGACAGTTTTCACTGGACGATGTAATGAGCTATGAGCTCTGCTCATTTCCTACAGCCCTGTTCAAAGGCAAGGAAATCTTCTGTAAAGCCAACAAGCCCCACCTAGCGCAGGCAGTCACTGAGTTCTCAAGCAAGAAATTGAACAAAACTGTCCTGGATTCCATCCCACCAACTGAGCATTATGTCCTTGACGGTGGCTCCCTGGTTCACCGCTTGGCATGGAAAAAGGGTGACAGTTATGGTGCCATTGCAGTCATATGCAGACTTTACCATACCCCATTATGGTAAAG